TACCTCCCTCTCCCCATCTACTAACTCCCCTACTCTGTTTTTAACTGACAAATCCATACTTTCATTAGGCTTTCTTAACTTGTTTAACTCACTCCAAAAAATTTTCTTATTTTCATTAAAATTTCTTGACAGTGCCTCTCCCACTCTATCATCTGCTCTCCTTTTGCACTCTCTCACCACTCTCTTTACCCTTCTTTTACTCTCCATATACTCTGCTCTTCTTATAACACTTCTGCTTTGTAAAAACCTCTCGTAAGCTACCTTTTTCTCTTTTATCACACCCTTTACTTCATCATTCCACCAATCACTCCTCTTTCCTCTGCCCCCACCCTCCTATAACCACAAACTTCTGCCCCACATTCTAATACTGCATTTTTAAAACTATTCCAACCTCTTCAACCCCCCACTACTCATCTTTGCACTAGCCCACCTTTCTGCCAATAGTCGCTTATATCTCACCCGAACTTCCTCCTCCCTTAGTTTATACACTTTCACCTCCCTCTTACTTGTTGTTGCCACCTTCCTCTTTTCCATTACCTCTACTCTAACTGTAGCTACAACTAAATAATGATCCGATATATCAGTTGCCCCTCTATAAACATGTACATCCTGGAGCCTACCCATCAACCTTTTATCCACCAATACATAATCTAACAAACTACTTTCATACGTGCTACATCATACCTTGTATATTTATTTATCCTCTTTTCCATAAAATATGTATTACTTTTACCAAATCTCTTTCTACACATAGCTCAATTAAAGGCTCCCCATTTACATTTACCCCTGGCACCCCAAATTTACCTACTACTCCCTCCATAACATTTTTACCCACTTTAGCATTGAAATCCCCAACCACATTACTCTCACACTTGATTCAAAACTCCCACGCATTCACTGAACATATATATTATATATATATATATTTATATATATTTATATATATTATTATATATATATTATATATTATATATATATATATATTTTATATATAATTATATATTTTATATATATATATTTATATATATATTATATATATATATTATTTATATATATAATGGGGTTTCCCCCTCTCGGAGAAGCGGATTTAAAAAAGGGTTCAAAGGGAAGAATATTTGGATTTCTTCTGAAGCCGTTTGAATATTCCACTTCCCCTACCCCCCCTCTTTTAAATATTTTTTTTTACCAATGGAATTTTTTATTACAAAATTTGGGTACAGAAGTTTTAAAGAGATAAATTGTTTTTTGAAGGTGGATTACGGTACATGTTTTTACGTGTGTTCACCGTTAAAAGGCGAAAATTCCCCAGCTCCTCAGAGCTGGGCGTGTGCCCAAAAAAACAGCAGGTTATCCTTTGAACGCCGCACTGAGCCGCGGGAACAGAAACTACTGCCCTGGGACCCCTAGTTTCTTTGAGGGTTCCTGAGCTTTTCAAACACGTGACGGGAACCCAAGATGCATATAGTTTTCTCTCTTGGGATTGTCACACCGAGGTGCTGGAGGAAAAAAATGACGGCCTTTCTCTCCTTGAGGTGACCCATGTTTTCCCCCGGAGCAAAGGGTTTCTGATATTTTAGGAACGATGTAGTACTGCTGGGCCATATCCTGTATTTGTTAGGCTTGTGATCTTCCTTGTGATCAGCAACACTGCTCTACTGACCAGCACTAAAAGGGATATAGGTGTCGGCCAGGAAAGATGCAAGAGTGTAGGTCCACACCAGCAGTCTTCCAAGGGTATGGATCCTGTAAGGGTAGATGGTGAGTAGCTGGGTAGTGAAGACCGAGGTTCTCTCTTGGATGAGCACAGAGCCGTAGCCAGGCTTATCGTGATGATCTCGTTGACTTCATTGTGTTTAATATGCCAACCTTTAGAACTTGAGCAGTTCGGCTCATAGTGGTTGATTACTACTTTGCTTCAAATATACTTGTGCTGAATGCGATTTGGGGAAGCACGACAGAGAGCCACTGCAGTGTGAAGGGTCTGCGAGTCAAGACGTGTTCCAGTAACAGAAAAGAAAACTCTTAAGAGAAAATCACCCGAATAAATCTCACTCGCCACTCTCTCGTTAGCAGAGTTTGCACTTGCTAACAAAGCTGCAGCAACATTTTCCATGATCCAGGCTTGTTTGTCAGCTGGTCTTGTCGTCTGCATTGAGCGGTGTAAGTGGGACCATCCACTCCTGTACGATTGCGAATTATGTTCTAGTAGGCTTTCCTTCACCAGCTCACTGGATCCGTTGGTGAAGGATAAAAATGCTGGCAGGTCAGTCTGAGAGGCTGTACATATGCCCAGTCAAACTCGAAGTATGGTTTGCTCCCACTGTGATTTGTCCAGTGAAAGGTTTAAGACTTTTTCTAGCGTGACATTTAGGAGGAAGTCGTTCTCTCTTTGTTTGGGGTTGACAAATGATGGAGAGCGCCGTAAAAAGTAAGCATGCTTCGGACTGTAGGTCTCAAATGGGACCTACAGTCCCATTTGGTAGTTTCGGAATATTCAAAAGCTGTTCAATCCTCTGGCTGGACATTAAAATCGGATGGTGATCCACTTATGCGTAGAGGAACCAATTGTGTTTGGCAGTGGTTTTCCGTCCCGGCGAACCACCAGGGGGATCATTATAATAATGGTATACAATACTGATAAGCTGAAGACTACGACAGGTATGTTGTATATATCTTGTTCTTTACTAGTGGGATATCAGATTTGAGGAGTCGAGACTGGCTACCTTATCTGACCTCTTTCGTTCCACCACTCTAAAGAGCAGATGACCATTTTATGCCCCCTTACAGCTATAGATGCACCCTTTTCTATTGTTTCTTTTGTTCCCCTTCTTTCTTAGATTTTCCCTACTTGTTTACTTTTATTTAGCCTTTCTCGAGCCTATTTGCATCATAGACGGATTTCACTGGTTTAGCTGGTCTCCGAGGAATGTTACATCTTCGGTGTTCTTTATTTTCACGGAAACACCATGAGATATCTATATTATGTTATTCAGCAAAGTCCCATTCGCAACTTCATTACCTTTTCAAGTTTACCTGCTACCCTTTCGTAGCTTCTGGAGTTTTCCCCCTGTTCATCATAGTCTCCCAGGTGCATGTTGCTTCGGTGTTGGAAGGTGGACTCTCCCAAAATTTATGGACTGTCTCCATTATTTCCGCTAAGCTTTCACCATCAAACTCCTCCATTCTCAGGAGGTGAAGAAAACCCTTAAGGGAGGTGAGTTACTTTTATAGTCGCCACTCACTAGCCCCAATGATGTAATTTAAGGATTTCATCATTGTAATTATAACACATGCCATTATAATAAACAAAAGAAACCTCTGAAGCGAAAGGAAAAAAATCATTAGTTCACTTCAGTAAGATACCCACCTTTTTTTTTTATTACATTCTTCAATTTTAACATCGCTGTCGCAGGGCTTATTGAAAGAGTATCTAAAAAATATTTAACATGTGAATTCCGCTTTCAAAAATTGAATAAAAGCAGCCTATGTCCCTGAAAATATTTTAAATTTTTGGTTTTGGCGACCATCTTTATTATTGACCTCTACATATTTCCCCTCTCAGCCTCCTGCTATCTCCCGTACCTACTCTCACCTCTCTTTCACCCTTGCTCACACTCCCTCACCTCTCTCACCCTTCCTCACTAAGCCATAACCAGGCATCTCACCTGAGGCGTCTTCCAGGAGGAACATGAGGTCTCTGAAGATGTGACTCCACTCTCTGCCAGCACTCTCGTCCAGCCTCCAGGCAGCATACCACTCCTCCACCGACACCTGTCGTACACAAAGCATTACTAGTGGTGATAATATAGTGATAATAGTTTAGAGAGTAGTAGTGATAATTTGGTTTGTAGTAGTGATAGTTATGACTAGGGAAAAAGTCCTGAGGTTTCCTACAAAGAAATATTTAAATATCACTCGTGATGTTAAGCTTAATGTAAGTAACTCTATTGCGTTGCCCTGTTATTGCAACTCGAATATAAATCTTTGAAAGTAATGAGTCAATAGCCACTCATCATCAGAATAAATCCCGCGTGAGATTCATGATAAATATTGCAACGAAGGAATGGAGTGAGTTAAAATTTTGACAGTGAAGGTAGACGCAACAGAATTTTTTAAATAATAATAACGCAAGATATACTTGCACACATAAAAGAATGCTTTAAAAATGTATGTAATCAGTTTCAGAAGTTTTGATGACGGTGAGAGGTTCATGATCATACTGGAGAGAGTATGACTGCCTTTCATTCCCCAGGTAGTCTTTTACCCCTACGAGTTTGGCGTTCCTAAGTATATGCAATAATCTCAGTCAGTTTCGTTATATATATATAATATATATATATATATATATATATATATATATATATATATATATATATATATATATATATATATATATATATATATATATATATATATATATACATATATATATATATATGTATATATATATATATATATATATATATATATATATATATATATATATATATATATATTATATATATATATAATATATATATATATATATATATATATACATGTATATATATATATAAACTTTGTTATGTCAATTTTCTTTAAAAAATAGAAAATACAGATAAAATAATGGAACTTGCTAATGTCTGTTCTCTTATTCTCTCTTAAATCTTATGTGCAGTTTGCAGATCCTGTTTAATGCAAGACTAAGACGTCACTTGTAATTTGCTCAAACAGGTGACTGGTGTGTTAATCGCCTGTGTGTAAATATTGAGCGAGTTGTTGTGGCAGGTAGGTGGAGGGGGGTGAGACACACCTCATCATGGGTGAGACACACCTCATCATGGGTGAGACACACCTCATCATGGGTGAGACACACCTCATCATGGGTGAGACACACCTCATCATGGGTGAGACACACCTCATCATGGGTGAGACACACCTCATCATGGGTGAGACACACCTCATCAAGGGTGAGACACGCCTCATCATGGGTGAGACACGCCTCATCATGGGTGAGACACGCCTCATCATGGGGGAGACACACCTCATCATGGGTGAGACACACCTCATCATGGGTGAGACACACCTCATCATGGGTGAGACACGCCTCATCATGGGTGAGACACACCTCATCATGGGTGAGACACACCTCATCAAGGGTGAGACACGCCTCATCAAGGGTGAGACACACCTCATCATGGGTGAGACACGCCTCATCATGGGTGAGACACACCTCATCATGGGTGAGACACGCCTCATCATGGGTGAGACACACCTCATCATGGGTGAGACACACCTCATCATGGGTGAGACACACCTCATCAAGGGTGAGACACGCCTCATCATGGGTGAGACACACCTCATCAAGGGTGAGACACGCCTCATCATGGGTGAGACACACCTCATCATGGGTGAGACACACCTCATCATGGGTGAGACACACCTCATCAAGGGTGAGACACACCTCATCATGGGTGAGACACACCTCGTCAAGGACGAGACACAACTCATCAGCAGTGAGACACATCTCATCATGGGTGAGACACGCCTCATCATGGGGGAGACACACCTCATCATGGGTGAGACACGCCTCATCATGGGTGAGACACACCTCATCATGGGTGAGACACACCTCATCATGGGTGAGACACACCTCATCAAGGGTGAGACACGCCTCATCATGGGTGAGACACACCTCATCAAGGGTGAGACACGCCTCATCATGGGTGAGACACACCTCATCATGGGTGAGACAACCTCATCATGGGTGAGACACACCTCATCATGGGGAGACACACCTCATCATGGGTGAGACACACCTCATCAAGGGTGAGACACGCCTCATCATGGGTGAGACAACCTCATCAAGGGTGAGACACGCCTCATCATGGGTGAGACACACCTCATCATGGGTGAGACACACCTCATCATGGGTGAGACACACCTCATCAAGGGTGAGACACGCCTCATCATGGGTGAGACACACCTCATCAAGGGTGAGACACGCCTCATCATGGGGGAGACACACCTCATCATGGGTGAGACACACCTCATCATGGGTGAGACACACCTCATCAAGGGTGAGACACACCTCATCATGGGTGAGACACACCTCGTCAAGGACGAGACACAACTCATCAGCAGTGAGACACATCTCATCATGGGTGAGACACGCCTCATCATGGGGAGACACACCTCATCATGGTGAGACACGCCTCATCATGGGGGAGACACACCTCATCAAAAGGGGAGACACACCTCACATGGGTGAGACACACCTCATCAAGGGTGAGACACACCTCATCATGGGTGAGACACACCTCGTCAAGGACGAGACACAACTCATCAGCAGTGAGACACATCTCATCATGGGTGAAACACACCTCATCAAGTGTGAGACACACCTCATCAAGGGTGAGACACACCTCATCAAGGGTGAGACACACCTCATCAAGGGTGAGACACACCTCATCATGGGTGAGACACACCTTATCAAGGGTGAGACACACCTCTCAAGGGTAAGACAAAAACCCCATCAAGGGTGAGACACACCTCATCAAGGGTAAGACACACCTCATCAAGGGTAAGACACACCTCATCAAAGGTGAGACACACCTCTTCAAGGGTGAGACACACCTCATCAAGGGTGAGACACACCTCTTCAAGGGTGAGACACACCTCATCAAAGGTGAGACACACCTCATCATGGGTGAGACACACCTCATCAAAGGTGAGACACACCTCATCATGGGTGAGACACACATCATCATGGGTGAGACACACCTCATCAAGGGCGAGACACAACTCATCAAGGGTGCGATACACCTCATCATGTGTGAGACACACCTCATCATGGGTGAGACACACCTCATCAAGGGTGAGACACACCTCATCAAGGGTAAGACACACCTCATCAAGGGTGAGACACACCTCATCAAAGGTGAGACACACCTCATCAAGGGTGCGACACACCTCATCAAGGGTGAGACACACCTCATCAAGGGTGAGACACACCTCATCAAAGGTGAGACACACCTCATCAAGGGTGCGACACACCTCATCAAGGGTGAGACACACCTCATCAAGGGTGAGACACACCTCATCATGGGTGAGACACCCTTAATGTAACCACTCTCCATATATTAAAATTTATACATTGGTAAATTGTTACAAAACCGGTTTTCTCTCAATTAAAAAACAGTCCAGTGACCTATTATGATGTCATAACAGCGACTCTCAAGATCTCCAACATGGCCGCTGATGTTTGGTTTCCTATTAAAATAGCTTGGGAAGTCTATTTATGAGGCTAGTTGCAGCTATAAGCCTCGTGTATATGCTAGTACATGTTAACACATGTAACTCTTAATAAAAGTGATATAACCAGTTATAGTGAATGTATCTGACACAGTCGTCAATACTTACATCATTCTTTCATTTTCTTAAGTAATTCCAGTTTTTAACGCCCACGTATCGTCTCACAGCCTTGCTCAACATGCAACTTGCATGTTGCTGCTGTATAAG